AGAGCCTGACGACGTGCGAGGTGTGCGGCGCCTGCTTCGAGACGCGCAAGGGGCTGTCGAGCCACGCGCGCTCCCACCTGCGCCAGCTGGGCGTGGCCGAGTCGGAGAGCAGCGGGGCCCCCATCGACCTCCTCTACGAGCTCGTCCGCCACAAGGGCAAGGCCGACGGGGCCGCCCTCGTCCCGCCCCTGGCCAAGAAATCGGCCTCCCCCAAGGACCCCGGGGCCGCCCCCCGGCCCGCGCTGCTGGCCCTGGCCAAGGCCGAGCGCCCGCCCGACGGCGCCGTCAACAAAGCCATCAAATCCCCGCCGGGCTTCGCCAAGGCCCTGGCCCAGCCGGGCTCCCCCGTGCTCAAGAAGGTGCCGCCGGCGCTCTCGGCCTCCCCGTCCCCCAAGAGCTCCGAGGAGAAGAGCTCCAAGCTGGCGCTCAGCCCGCTGCCGGCGTCGCCCAACTCCCAGTGGCCGCAGGAGGAGGACGGGCCCCTCAACTTGAGTGAGTTCCTGGTGCTTTTCCGGGGGCTTTCCCGGGTTTTTTGAGGGTTCCTGAGCTCTCCCGTCCTCTCCCTGCTGTTTGGTTGTGGCTGTCGTGGCCTTGCCTGTCAACGGGCATTCCCATTGGGATTTTGGGAATCTCTCTGCCCTCCCAGCCCTTCCCGTCTCTTCCCTGGCTCTCCTGGCTGCTCCGGGCAGGCTGGAGCGCCCTGGGGTGCCGCTCCTGATCCCGATAAATCCGAATCCCGACGCGGGGGGGGTTTGGCTGGCATCCCATTCCCACATTTCCCGCTCCTGGAAAAGCCCCCAGGGCCGGTGCTTCCACGTCCTTCTTCATCCTCGGTTTCCATCGGGGCTGATTCCCCACACCTTGGCACCAAAACGGTTTTCCCGGCGGCATCCGGCTCTTCCCACCTTTTCCCGGAGCGCCACGGCTTCCTGGGAATGTTTCATCCACAGCTCCAAGGGCTGTTGAGCTTTTTGGGGTTGTTAGTTTTCCTCATCCTCATTTCCAGGCTTTCTTAGGGAGCACATCCCACAGGAGCTGCTTTCCTGGGAATCTCTGCTCCCATGGGAATCTGGGCTCCAGTGGGAATCCTGGAGCCTTTGGAGGTCGTTTCCTGCAATAACACGGAAAGCAACCTCCAAATATTTGCTGTGTCCGCCCGTTCCCTCATTCCAGGGGGCAGCTTTAAGGTCTGAATCCCTGCAAACCCCGTGGCCGGCGTTTCCCAGCGTTCAGCCCCGCTTCCAACTTCCCACATCCACCCCCTGAGCGCCACAGTAAATCAGTTAAAGAACCAGAATTCCCAGAACTCCCAGAACTCCCAGCAGCGTTTCTTGGGATGCCCCTGGTTGATTTATTTCCCTAAATTCCGTTTGCCATCGCCGGCTCTCCCAAACCCAATCCCACGTTTATCCCACGCCCCATCCCAGTTAATTAAACAACAACTGATTGTCTTGAGGGGGCAGAACCAGTGGCAGTATTTGGTGGTAGCCGGAATTCCAGGCGGTTTTCCCTCTGGAATTCCACTTTTTCCGCGGCCTCGGGGTCGGAGCCGGCGCGGGTTCTGTGGGGAATTCTTCCCAAAATTCCATTTGCTGTCACCGGTGCTCCCAAATCAATCCCATATTTATCACCAAGCTCATCCCAGAATGCGTTTAGGATGTTTGGGAAAATACTTGGGAAGGAGGCAGCCGGAATTCCAGGTGGTTTCCCTCCTTGTTTCTTTAACGCTCTCTGGAATTCCACTCCCTCGTTGGGGTCGGAGCCGACATCCACTGCCAGAAATCCCATTTGCCATGACTGGCTCTCCCAAACCCAATCCCACATTTATCCCAGTCAATCCCAGCAGCCAGTTGTCTCGGGATGGGGGATGTTGAGCAGGGGGCAGCCGGAATTCCGGGCAGTTTTCCCTATGGAATTCCTCTCTCTCCTCAGCGTCGGGGTTGGAGCCGGCGCACGACATCCCCTGTGAGAAATCCCATTTGCCGTCTCCGGCTCTCCCAAACCCAATCCCACATTTATCCCAGTCAATCCCAGTCAATCCCAGCAGCCAGTTGTCTCGGGATGGGGGGTGTTGGGCAGGGGGCAGACGGAATTCTGGGCAGTTTTCCCTCTGGAATTCCGCTCTCTCCGCAGCGTCGAGGTCGGAGCCGGCACACGACATCCGCTGCCAGAAATCCCATTTGCCGTCTCCGGCTCTCCCAAACCCAATCCCACATTTATCCCAGTCAATTGCACAACAGCCAATCGTCTCAGGATGGGGGGGGTGGGAGGTGTTGGTCAGGGGGCAGCCGGAATTCCGGGCGGTTCTCCCTCTGGAATTCCGCTCTCTCCGCAGCGTCGGGGTCGGAGCCGGCGCGCGACATCCGCTGCGAGTTCTGCGGGGAGTTCTTCGAGAACCGGAAAGGTCTGTCCAGCCACGCGCGCTCCCACCTGCGCCAGATGGGGGTCACCGAGTGGTACGTCAACGGCTCCCCCATCGACACCCTCCGAGAGATCCTCAAGCGCCGCCGCCCCGGGAATCCCGCCGGGAATCCCGCCGGGACCCCCGCCGGCCCCAAGGCCGTGGCCAAGAGCCTCCTGGGCACGCTGGGACCGCTGGAGCCGCGCGGGCCGGCAGAGCTGCACATTCCCGCCCTTGGGAAGAAGGTCCCACCACCCGGCAGCCCCCCGGGGCCGTCTCCCACCTCGTCCCCGCCTCCCACCGCCCGGAAGATGTTTCCAGGCCTCTCTCCTCCCTCCTTGCAGAAGAAACTCAAACAAGACCAGCTGAGGGTGG